CGCCAGCCAAGTCCAAGATAAACTTCAGCCTTAAGCTTAATAGCCTTTCTTCCTAAAAGTAACAGTTTGAGTTGATTGTCTTAGCAAAACCGAAGTAACAGGCTGACGCACGCATTTATATATAGGTCTGTCATCATTGTCATCATTGAAAATCATTACTTTTGCCAACCGACTGTTACCACGGTTGCCGCCTTTTCATGACTGCTCCACTCAGACAGCTGTTTTTTGAGCACCTGCATTATGGGTATTAAAAAGTTTACCCTGTCTGCATTTCTGTGCTTGGCCCTGGCTGTGGGTGACGAAGACTTGCTCCTCATCTGTCTTACTTTCCTTTCCTTCTTCAGTTTCACTCTCCATCACTCTTTCACTCACCATTTCTCTTCCACTCTCTCTCTCGCTTTCTTTGCCCATCTCACTCTCTATCTCTCTCTCCTCCACACCTCCTCTCTCTCGTGCTCTCTCTCTCTCTCTTCTCCACACGCTGTCTCTCTTTCCCTGTCTTTCCCCCTCTCTCTCTCTCTGTCACTGTCTCTCTCCATCTCCCTCCCTGCCTCTTTCCTCTCTCTCCCTACCTCTCTCTCTTTCTTCAGCCTTCCCTCCCTTGCTCTGTCTCTTCCACACTATCTCTCACTCCATCTCTCTCTATTTCTCACTTTCCCTCTCTCTCCCTTTCTCTCTCCATCTCTCTCGCCCTTTTCCCTTCTCTCGCTGCCACACACTCTCTCTCTCCATCTTTCTTTCTCTCCCTATTTCTCCCTTTCCCTCTCTTTCCCTCTCTCTTTTTCTTAAACTCTCTATTTCCCTCCCCCCTCTCCCGTACTATCTTTCTCTCCATCTCTCTCCCTCTCTCTCTCTCTCTCTTGCTTAATTTCTCTCTCCAGCTCTCCTTTTCCACCTCTCTCCCTCTCTATCCATCTCTCTCTCTCTCTCCCTTTCCCCCTCTCTCTCTGCCACATAGTCTCTCCATTTTTCTTTCTCTCCCTCTTTCTCCCTTTCCCTCTCTCTTCCTTTCCCTCTCGCTCTCTTTGCCACACACTCTCTCTCTTCATCTTTCTTTCTCTCACTCTTTCTCCATTTCCCTCTCTCTGCTTCTCTCTCTCCATCTCTCTCTCTCTCCCTTTCCCCCTCTCTCTCTTCCACACACTCTCTTCTTATTTCTTTCTCTCCCTCTATCTCCCTTTCCCTCTCGCTCTCTCTGCCACACACTCTTTCTCTTCATCTTTCTGTCTCTCCCTCTTTCTCCCTTTCCCTCTCTCACCCTCTCTCACTCCTTATCCCTCGCTCTCTTTCTCTCCCTCTCTCATTCCGTCTAGCATTCAGGCCTTGTTTTGACTAACTGGTCTCGCAGCCCAACTCTCCCAGGAGCGAGCACCACACCCCAGACCAGAGTGGAAACTGGCTCAAGTCTCAGTCAGAGAGTTAGTCGGAGAGGCCTGGAAAAATGAAGGAGAGAGGAGGTGGGCGGGATTGGGAAGAGACTGCGCTGTGTGTGCATTTTCTGGGGTCGGGACTCTGTCTGGGCTTCGTACCCCCTACCACGGGCTGCTGGAGCACTGGGGATGTTGTCTGGTGCAGTTGTTTGACTTCACAGGGCTACACAGTTGGTTTGATTAGGCTTAGGACGGCCAAAAAAAGAATGAATGAATGCATTATCTTACTAACAAGCTCAAATTAAACCAAAAAAGTTGAAGTCCTGGTCTTGTCTTGTTAAGGACTTTGTACAGCATAATAGAGTTCAGCACTGACCGCCCACGTCTCCTAGTTTCAGAACTAAATTTTTCAGCGGTAACTAATGACCACAAGACTTATAATTTATAGTTATAAACCGCTACATTATTAAGGCATTTCACCGAATCTTGAGTTTTAAATGTGGTCTTTTGGCTTAAAATAACAGTATCATGGACATTAGTTAACACATACATAGCTGCTTGGCCTCCTCTATGCCTTTAAACTCTTAATATTTGAAATTTTTTAAGTCCATGGGAAAATTAAGGGGTATTTTACTTCCAGAAACAGAGCTGGCTGTCGCTGCTGAGCTCTATTACATGAAATGCTGACCAAAATTGAGGGACATTGTAGTCAGATAATTCACTATCGTCAAAATGTCACAGAATTCTCTAAAACTCTACTAAGATTAAAACATACTGACATTTTAGAAAATCATTATTGTCATTCACTTGTCAATTCAGTTCATCCAGTCAAATTCAGACATAAGACATTGCTAGTCTGGTCTCTATCATTGCTGTACATTTAAAGAGAAATGGAGAAAGTAGCATAACTGGTAAAGCTGAGACATCTGGAAAAGGAAAACGCTTAAAAAGTATAATAAGTACAGTTTGTATGTAGAAATATGTAAAAGAGCAGCAGCAGACGGTATAGCCAATAGTAGATAGAAATTACATGTGCTCCTTTTCCTTCATCATCCCTCCTGATCTTTACACTATATAGTACCTCATTGAAAACCTCAGGCCAAATTCCCTCTCTGCTTTTTAACTCTGCAGTGGGGTTTGAAGGCGGTGGGTCTGTTGTGTTTTGGGGGGTGGAGGGTAGAGGGGGAGGGGGGTTGGTCCAGGGGAAAAAAGGTTCAGTAAAACAAAGAGGGGTTGTCTGCAGCGGAGCAGGCAGGAAACACAGGTCTCCCAGGACACCCCACACCCCAGGACACCCCACACGCACACATACACACACGAACACGCACACACATTCACACGCACACATACACATACACATACACATACACATACATATACACATACACACTCAGCCACGCACACCTACTTCAGATTGGACCTGACAGCAGCACTGAGCCACGGCAGCCCCTCTTATACACACCTCAACTCCTTTGTGTGGTTTTACTTTTTATTATACAATTTTCAGGTCTGATGATTAGCTCAGATGTGTTTGTTATGATGGGTGAGGTGAAAATTACATTTGTGAAAATGATATGCATAGCCTTTTCTTTGAGTAGTTGCAGTAACAGATGTGGTAGTTTTCTAAGTACTTTTTTAACATACATTTTTCCATTAACAGTAACATTTTGTGACACTTTGTGCAATTAATTTGATGAAGATTATATATTTCATAATTATTTTGTATATTTGGCCTTTAAAAAGTAAATATTTTGTGTCATGTTAATAATAAAATTGTTATTTAAAACCTTACTTGTCCACAAGAGGGCAGTATGTCACCATGATCAAACGCCCCGGTCTTGAATCGATAGCGAATTTTACTGTCCGCACTGGCTGATGTGCTTTCAAGTAATAAAATACAAGACCACAGTGTTGAACTCATTAGGGAGAATTACTATTTTTTACTAAGGGGGAAAAAATTTAATGATTTAGTTTTAAAGGGCCCATATTATAGTGTTTTCTGGTCTATGTTATAATGTTGTTTCCTCATCAAAAACATACCTGCTGTGGTTTGTTTCATTCACACACTACATCTGTCAAACAGAAAACACTATCTTCTACTGTGTGATGTTATGTGGTAATACAGGAAGTGCTCCACTGTGTTTTTAAACTCCATGCACCACTAGAATCATTTGGAATTGCCAATCTTTACTGAAGAAAAGGTAAAAGGAGCTGTTAACTTGAAAACTACACCTTCAGAAGGTGGAATGGAGGATTCTGAGCTTTGGAGATGTAGACAGACTAATAATAAAGGATTACTCATACATGTGTGAATAAAACAACACAGACCTCCAGGTGTGTTTTAGGAGGCAGCAACATTCTAACATGGTAAAAGCTCACAGGAGTCAGTTTTGCATAATACGGGCTCATTCCTTTACTAATCACCTATTTAGATTAAAGGATTAAGCAGAGGTTTTCTAGAATAGATTGTTTATTACACACACAAAAAAACGGTTGTTTATCATGGCTTGACCGATTGCCCTCGATTCATGAATCCGATACTGCACAATATTCTGTTCTCAAACTCTTGTTTAGTACAATAGGCTTTTCTCTTGATGAAGATCCCCTTTTGACCTGCTTTTTGTCCTGTCCCACTGGGGGCTTTTAACTTGTGAGAAAGTAGCATGTTGCATGATGTTACTTGATAACATTACTGTGACATCAGGTCATCAGTCTCACATTCGCCTGTATTTTTCCTGCATTCAAAACATGTGAACTCTTTTTGCCCCACAATAACACAAAGCATCAGGGGTTTTGGCCAGGTGCATTGTGGGTACGGACCTGCATTTCAGAGACATTGCCAGGGGAATAGACAGGCCCTGCTTTATCTGCATGTCTTGTCAGTGTGATTGATTGTAACTGGGAGCTGTCATGCAGGTTTTGTACATGGGCGAAACAGCAGGTAGACTTCATGTTAGTGGATTGGGCTGGCAGCTTCACAGAGGCTGCTTCTGTGAGGGAATAGTGGAAAAGGATTTTGCTGTATTTGATCTGCATCTGGCTCATTATTTGTGGTCATATTGTTGCCTCAGATGCTCAAACAAATGCAGTTTGTCAAAAACTGTGCCATCTTTGTAACAACACTATTATGGAGCCAAATTACACCAGACAGACCATCTGTAACATAATTTATATCTGAAAATTGGGGATCAAATAAGATGTCTAAAGCTGTAACACATCATTTTGCTTCAAAAATTTTACTGGCATCTTTTCTAAATGGAGATGGTATTGAATTGCTTGGAATGTATAGCATTAAACATATTCATCTTGCATTCATTTCCGTACTGATGTTCTATTGTTCATGCATTCTTAATGTGAGCAGGCCGGCTTGCCATTTCACAGATCTGACCTGTAACTTGGCCTGATGTGTTATATGAAGTTAGATAAATTTATACTGCAGAACATTCCAGGCAAAGTAACAAAAACTTCATGGAAACAAAAAGATTCACCTATATACACCCCCATGCTCCCCTCCAGGAATATAGCTATTGCAGTGCTTGAACAACAACAAATCATACATTTTTGGGGGAAATGTACAGTAATTCTAAATTTAAATGTACAAATGTTATCTTTTTTTTTTTTTTTTTACAGATTCTTCGTATGATGCAGTTCGGAGGACAGGGTGGTCGAACAACATGCACAGTGGCAAAGGTGAGATTTTATTATAATTAATACTATTAATTACAGGTATTCTTTCTTAGTCAGTTCATTTAAAGGCCTTATATTACATAAACATGACTCTTGAGAGATTTAAGCCATGTTAGAATTCTGTTACCTCCTCAAAAACATACCTGCAGTTATTTTTGTTTTATTCACAGATGTTTGGGTAAACCTATATTATTATTAGCCTGTCTACATCTCCAAAGCTCAAAACCCCTTGTTTCTCTTTGGGATGTCATGAAGCAGTAGTTACAGAGTTAAAAGCAACATTTTACCTTTATTTCAATAGAGATTGGAAATTCCAGAGCTAAAATCACCCAAATGATTCTAGTGACAGTGTATGGAGTTTAAAAACACAGTAGAGCACTTCCTGTGTTATCGTTACACATCCTAAATATGCATGGATGCGTGTTAAATATGTGTGAATGAAACAAAACACAACTCCAGGTATGTTTTTGATGAGGAAACAACCAGTGGTGCAGTGAGGATTTTTTAAGTGGGGGTGCGGGATTAGTGATTGAACCAGGACTGAACCAGGACTGAACCAGGTCTAAACCAGATCTAAACCAGGTCTAAACCAGGTCTAAACCAGGACTAAACCAGGACTACACCAGGTCTAAACCAGGTCTAAACCAGGACTAAACCAGGACTACACCAGGTCTAAACCAGGTCTAAACCAGGACTAAACCAGGACTACACCAGGTCTAAACCAGGTCTAAACTAGGTCTAAACCAGGACTACACCAGGTCTAAACCAGGACTACACCAGGTCTAAACCAGGTCTAAACCAGATCTAAATCAGGACTAATCTTGGACTTGAGAGAAAGAGAGAGAGCCCAGAGCCTGTGGAGCAGCATGTCCCGTAAAGCGCAATTGGGTGACGACTGTGCTTAGCTCTTTGAGGTGTGGGGCTCTGTGCCGGTTCTTTCACCTGCAGTCACCCGACGGTCTACACAGGCTCACCTCTGGGTCCGTCCCGACATTCAGTTCTGGTTTAGATCTGTTTTAGTCCTGATTTAGTCCTGGTTTAGTCCTGGTTCAGTTCTGGTTCAGTCCTGGTCCCCTCATGTCGCAGGTCACTATAGGACAGTACAGCAAATATCATGAGCCTATGCAAGTTGTTTTCTAGCCAGGCTGGTGCTACTAAGTGCCTCCGCTCAATTTAATTTCTCTCCAGTGACTAGGTCAGGAATCGGAATACACTAGAAAAAAACCTTGAAGTGCAAGTTCGAGCACCAGCCAATCAGTGAAGAACCATACATTCTGTTTTGGCAATGATTCCCGAGAGTTAATATACCAGTTAGCCTCGTTAGCGGCGTATTACAACCAAATAGCGACCAAATAGCAGCATTTGGTTAAATAAAAAAAGTGCCTGCCTACCTTTGAGCGAATGAATTATAACGCTGCGAGGTCAGACGGTTTCTACAAAGTGAAACCTGCTGATGAATCAGGCTAGTTTTTTTCACCATTGCCAATAGCTCCGGTTTGACATTTAAGTTGTAGGCTATTTTATATTTGTTTTGTTTTTTTTATATCTCATGTCGGGAGAAATGGGTGGACAGCATATCCCCGTGTACTACGCCCACTGCACCCCTAGAAACAACATTATAACATAGATCAGAAAATAGGCCCTTTAACTGCGATCTCCTTTGTGTTTCCCAACTTTATTAACGATAAGATAAAGTCTGTGATCCACCAGTTATGAAACAGTTTCCAACATTTTATCTAATAACTTTAATTCAGCCCTAGCCTCCTACATCTAATTTCAATATTTTATCCACCACAGACCAAAGAACTAGTACTCCATGCCTGAGTTTGACGAGCCTTTTTGCTGCCATGCCTTTAGGATACGTCTGACTATTTCTATCCACCTGCTGCTAACCCGTCTTTAATCTGTGTCTGTAGCAGGCTCTCCAGTGGTGCCCCAGAATGTGAGCAAGTCCACAGAGCAGCCCCGCGCTCAGCCAGGTACTCACAGCACCTCGCTCTCTACGCAGAAATACACTATCATTCATTTGAACACAGCTCATGGAACTTGGCCTAATTACTCTGCAGATATATGCAAATGAGAGCCTTGTAATTTTTGCTCACTGGGTTAATTAAGAGCTAAAAGTGCTTCCCAAAGGCCCTGTATAATTAAAAGTTTTATGGTAAGTTCAATAAGAGATTTTTGCTTTTTTACGTGACATGTTAATATAATGAATAATGCTTTATTAATATTAACTTAATCTCCAATGTCCCTTCACTTGAGCATTTGGGTGAGCCAGTATTGATGGTACTGCAAATATGTAATTTAAGGGCTGGTTTATTTTAATCATTTCATGTTTTCTAATTGGAATACGGCTTTCTATTCAGATTTTGTTGGCATACTTTAGATTTTTCAGTTACTTATTTAGACTTTGAATAAAATATAAATGATACTTTGCCTTTTTGGGGAGGTGGAAATCTCAATAAATAAGGGTAGAGGCTCTGACAATTTTCTGAATGTCTCTTCTCACTCTTCATGCTGTACTGTCTGTTGAATTAATGCCGATGCTCTAAAAAGGGGATCTTAAATCAATCTGGTATTCTAACACTCACATAAATATTTTCTGTTGTGGGTTACCAGTAACATTTTCTTTCTTTCCACAGATCCGTATCAGATTCTGGGCCCCACCAGTAGTCGTCTTGCTAATCCAGGTAAACACATGCAGTGTTCAGATTAGCAGAACCATGACGTCACTGTTCCATGATCCAATGACTCAATTATTTGTTTATTTCCTAGGCTCAGGTCAGATCCAGTTGTGGCAGTTTTTGCTGGAGCTCCTTTCAGACAGTGCCAACGCGGGCTGCATCACCTGGGAGGGCACCAACGGCGAGTTCAAAATGACCGACCCGGACGAGGTGGCGCGACGCTGGGGGGAACGGAAGAGTAAACCCAATATGAACTACGATAAGCTGAGCCGTGCACTGCGCTACTACTACGACAAAAACATCATGACTAAAGTGCATGGCAAACGCTACGCCTACAAGTTTGACTTTCATGGCATCGCGCAGGCACTACAACCCCACCCCACTGAATCCTCCATGTACAAGTATCCGTCTGACCTGGCCTACGTGCCCTCCTACCATGCACACCAGCAAAAGGTTAACTTTGTCTCCCCACACCCTCCTTCTATGCCAGTCACTTCGTCTAACTTTTTCGGACCCACTGCCCCATACTGGAGCTCACCCACTGCAGGCATCTACCCCAACCCCAATGTCCCCCGGCACCCCAACACCCACGTGCCCTCCCATCTGGGCAGTTATTATTAAGACACCACCACTTCTTCTTTATGCTGACCTGCACTCCAGATGATGACAATCCTATGAAGTTAACAGGAGAGTTACGTCCTCCTACCCCAAAGTGAAGGATTTTGAAGTTGTGTTTTACTTGTAAAGAACTTACAACTGGATGCGGCAGTCCAAAATGGAATACTACTTACTTATAAAAAAGACTTATTTGCCATGTCGCTGTGCCTTTTTCTTAAACCTACTGCACCTACAAGCTAAATCTCAAGCTGAAGCATGTGATGAGGTCTTGCTGTCAGACATAGGCCTGTGTGTTATGGGTCTTAATACATTCTCCATTACTACGTATGTACATTATGCTAAGTACTGCATTAGCTCCTTTCCACTGTGGGCATCATGGATTCTGTTTTCGTCAAAGCTTTTTGACTCTTCTTTTCTATTGAGGTCTGTCCACCTGTTTTTGTTTTGTGTGAATTTTTTTTTTTCATGGAGACATTTGTGTTGTCAATGTCAATGTTTCTCAGCACTGAATTTAGAAATTGGCAACTGGAATATGCCATTCATTTGATTTAATTTATCCTCCAAACTGGAAAGCTCGAGAGTCAGATGCTATAAGAAAGCGCTGTATGTGTAGTGGGCTGGGTGAGTCTGTTGTGGGCACTTGACTCTGGTGCACTTAAAGCAAAGGCAAGATGTAATTGAAGCAATTTGCAAGAATAATTGAGCCCAGGTCTGTTGTTTCCAGGGGCCACACACAGGCTCGGGCTGTGTTGCCTTTCAGCCATGCTGTCTCCAGATGTTTGTTTGCTCAGCCATGTCAGTATTAATGTGAATGTCTTCTGGTTTGTCAAACATGTGGCAGAAGTTTGCCCCACAGTCAGATCAAAACATGTGCCATGTTTTCATTTGGAGATAGGTTTATGAACACACAGTATTATAATCCTAATGAAGCTAAGAGCACTGTGTTGTTTTGAGATGCAGATGGTGAAGTGCCTTACAGTGTTCTCCCAGTGCCATATACAGACAAAAGGGCCTTGGTGCATGCACCACATTCACTGTTAGCAGTAATCGTATTACACTAACAGATTGTGCCTTAGTGTTTGATCTGACAGTGTGTGATTTAAAAGTGCACTCTGATGCTCTTGCTGTCCATGCCTCTGAGTGTCAGCCATCACAGTCAAACCAAAGAGAAGTGTCATTTTTCTATCGGGCTGGCTCCCAGTTTGTGTTTGAATGTTAGTTTCTCACTGATGTGGAGCCCAGTGAATGCAGGTGAATCTGATGAAGGCTTTATCAGGATGTATCAGTATTACAAACATATCCATGTTCAGGTGTTCACAGCTGTATTTCTAAAGCGTATATCCAAGAATAGACACTTGAAAAAAATGACTTTGGGCAAAGTTTATCAGAGCAAATCCATGACGTATGAAGTGAAACCTTTTCAGATTCGCAAACGCTGTGCGTTTGTCAGAAGTATTTTTATTATTATATGAGCATCAGTCAACTAGGCATTAAAGCAACTTACTGTATAAATTATGCAGAGTTATTTTCATATGTGACACAGTATTAAGTCATGAGAATTATTACGAGTTGACCTCGGTCAAAAATGACAACTTTTTGAGTCCATTTTTGCTAAGTAACATTTTAGGCGTTTTATATGTGTACATTTGGGCGACTCATTTTGAAGTTCTTTTTTTCTTCTTCTAATTTTATTTTTCTGGAATTCAAGTTATTACACCTTAAGTGCATTTAGGAGCACAAGTTATTTACTAGCATACTCCATACATGCTCCGAAGCTGAAGCTTTATGCATGATCATAAAGACACACCAGCCCAGAGCTCTGGACCAGGCAGACTATCAGGTATTATGCAACACAATCAATAAATATTCACCACATCTTTGGATTTTACTATAAGTTTAAATACTCTGTAAAATAAATATGTATTTTGTAGCATAAAGGGAAGATGTGCGGTATGTGCCTCATCTTCCTTTTTCACCTGCAGTATTAATTAAAAGGGACTTGTGCTACTTCATATATGCAATGTAATTTGGATATTAAAGTATATTATGTAAATCTATATGTGTATAATTTACAAATAACCATGGGTAATTATTATTGTCATTCCTGAAATGTATGAAGTAATACCTTTTGAAAAAGGGATTTTTGTATAGAAAAAATGTGACAAAATAAATGTTTTTACCTCTAATAGTGTTGTTTTCATACAATGTCTTCCAGAGATGTGACAGCAGACATGTAGAGCAGTGCTTGCAGAGGTCATATGACAGGTCATGGGGTAGATTGGGCAGCCCAGTTGTGCTTCTGCACTTGTTAAAGCAGAGTTCTGGTTTCATGTTTTTGGTAAACACAAGGCTGTGTGCTGCGGCTCTCATCTCCCTCCCTGAGTGAGAGCTGTTTGGTGTGACATCTTCACATGTTTACAGAGAAGAGCCAGGATAAGGGCTAGCACCTGTCACTATGATGCTCTGACCTTTTGATAAGTCTTATGTAGTTTTAATGACGTGCACAATGACACACGACCAAGTTTTGATACAAATAGTTTATTAGAGTATATTTTCCCTGAGAACATATACAAAAACATACACACAATCATTTCAACCAGTATTCACTGTTGAAAGTGTTTAGAGTTTAAACACAGTGAGACAGTCAGAGGCAGATCCCTGAGTTGACCGTCTGCCAGTGCCTCTGAGACTGAGGAGTTCAGTACTGTCCTGGTTCATGCCCTAGCCTCTCTCTCTCTCTCTGAGCACTACATGCTACCATACATTATTAAGAAGGCACTTTATTTCCCCTTAAGTATTTGCTAAAACATGCTCCATTACAGCTTCATCAAGAATTATTTAAAATCAATTTGTTTATCTGTGTTTCCACATTCACGCTCAAGTGCATCATGTTCATCTATGGTATATTTCCTATTCTGTTCCAGCTCTCTTCACTTATTCAAAATTTCCTTAACCTTCGGCTTCCATGGTCCCTTTAAAACTGGTTCTTGGTCAGCCAACAGTAACAGGTGTGGTTTTACAAATGCAGCAGTACACAAAGACTGAGTAGCCCACAGTCTTTTAACTGTGCTCAACACAAAAGAACATCCATCTGAGCATTTACATGCTTTGTAATATGTGTTCTGACCTCTGCTCCTGTGGCCTAACGCTTTCACATTACTCTTTTCAAAGAAAAGAGTTAAAAGAGTTCTGTTTTTTGTTTGGCTTTTCTCACATTGTGGTGACACTCTGGGGGTCAGCAATGTCTATCATCTCAAAGCTCGGGTTGTCCTGTCCAGTTTTGGAGAAGTGATGATGTCCCTTGAGGTTGTGGAAGCAGTAGGCGCAGTGTGCCGTGGCCACAGGCACCACTTTGGAGAAGTTGGAGAAATCCACTCTGTACTTGCCATCTTTGCTCCTGGAGATGATGGGAAGGAAGTTGTATCCCCACATGATTTCCTGAGGGATGAAGGAGGTGCGCACTTGACAGGACGAGCTGGTGGACTCTGCGGTCCCGTCCAGGAAGACCACCAGCTCAAACTCTTGTTTGTGGAGCGTGTCCACGGCCATGTCAAAGAAAGGGCTGCTCTTGTCTATGGTGTGGTACAGAGTGAGAGGACACACAAAGAATAGGTTGTCTTTGCCTGCATCCATCACGAAATCAATGTTGACCTGGTCCATGATGATCGTCTCTCCGTCCGGAGTGTTTCTGGTGCGCAGCAGTTTGCCATAGATCTGGCTCCCGATCATTAGGGACTTTCGAAGGTTGGCCACCCGGATAGACAGGCACAGAGCACCATTCTTAGGGCAGATCACAGCCATGTCACTGAAGCTGATGGTCTTGGCTCTCTTTTTGGGTAATGAGATCTTGGCCAGAATGACTCCACACATGAAACTACTAATGAAGGCTCCAGCCAGGGACTGAATGATGATAACAGCCACAGCCCCGGGGCACAAGGGGGTGAGGGCTCTGCCGCCATAGCCGATAGTGGTCTGTGTTTCCAGGGAGTACAGAAAGGCCGTGGTCAGTCCGACTACATTGTGTACACAAGGGATGTGGTCTTCAGGGGGATTCTGCCAGGTCAAGTCTCCATTATTACGAGCAATCCAGTACCAGATTAGACCAAAGATGAACCAGCTCATGGTGAACGAAGCAACGAAGAAAAACAGAACAAAACGCCACCTGATCTCGACTACGGTTGTCCAAAAATCCGCCAGGAAGGACAAATGTTTGCTGTATTTGATGTTCCCATATTCGATGTTGCAGCGTCCGTCTTTAGTTACTAATCTGGTTCTGCGACTTCTGCGCTCAGACAGGTAGTCCTGGAGACGCTGGTGCAGTGAGCCACACATCTTAACTCCAACACCTAACAAAACATTTCAGGTTTAGATGCTTTAGGCTCTTTTTCACCTATAGCAAGAGGCATAGTACTGTATGTAACAGTACAAATATAAAGATGTAATCTGACTCAGATATGCATTTAGAATTTAACATAAAGGGATAATTCTACTAATATTTCTCTTGTTTGTATACTTTCAACATTGTCTGCATCGTTCAGTTTAAAAGTTTTAATAGCTTTGAAGGTTAGAACATATGTCAGCAAGTGTTCATTGGGTAACAAGATACACACAGTAGTAATTAAAGGTGCCGAGTTTAGAGGGATGATGCGTCAGTTATTAGTATTTAAGGATGTAAATCTTACACCTTCTTAGAGATTTAAATGAATGTTTTATGAATGCAGCACATACCTGAAACATAATTAACCATGATTTATTTTGCATTTAGATATGGATTCAATCACTAGAAAAGATTGATCTAGGTCCATGATCTGACAACATTTCTTAGAGATAAAAGAAGTGGACTCACCTGTTTGTATCCTGCGATGTAGAGACAGAGACAGATCCAGTGAGCACCTGTGTCACAAATGAGATGATGTGAGGTGTGTCCTCTGGTGTCGTCCCAGAGACACTGCTCTGCTTATATGTGCTTCTGCTGCTGCTGCCATGTGCCACACTCAACCAGGTGATGTTTACACCCACAGACACATGGAGTACCCCCGCCTTCCTCCTCCCCAGCAACCTCCTCCTCCTCTGTTTACCCCACACATGCCTGGCACCAGAGGTCGACCTGACCCTATCCCGCATCGCAATGGGCATTCCTTCAGATTCACTGTTTGGACTTCACACCTGCTCATATTTTCATGTACCATTTATAAAGGTTGTCATAGACAGTCAATTTGTCTGAAATAATCGTATTTATTAGTGTTTCTGGGTGTGTGCATCTGTATAACAAACAGTGTAAGTTGTGAGTGTATACACAGACAATCATGTGCATGATGCTATACACACAAGTAAATGATGCATCTAGAAATATTCAGGGACAGTTCATTTTAAAATAAGAATTTAAAATAAAATAAAATAAAAATGTAATATTGATTATTATTTATTTACAAAATGTTAATATTGTGTGCTCAGTTATTATATGCATTGTAATATATTATGCAAATGATATTTAGACATTATATGTCATAATACAACTGACTATTTTACTTGTTTACTTTGTGTGTAAATTTCAAATTGTGTAGTCTGTCTAATGTTTACGCTGTGTGATGAGTTTATTTGTATGATGTAATAAAAAATATAATACTCAGTTCAGTGTCACCTCCTGTTCAAAGGGCTATTCCCCAGTGACCATTACCAACAGTGCAAACTCGGACTGAAACAGCTCAGATAAAAAAGATGTTCTAGATCCAAACAGATAGGCCACAACACAAATACAATCAATTCATGAGAATGCGGAAAGAAGAAACCGTCCAGCGCAGAGTCATTTTTCAAACCTTTTGTCACATAGCAGAAAAAGCACAGGGGATCATCTTACACTTTATTCCTTAAAGACTACACCATTTTACTACTACGGCTCACACAAAACATTCTGTTCTGAAGTGCAGGGCACAACGGTCCTAAAGCAGACAATTGTTCTATTATTACACCAACTATTTACAACTAAAAACTGTGCCATGTTGTATATTGTATTGTTTATGAATATTGGACAGTTGGAAAATATTTAGCAAATCAGGATATTAGTGCTAAATTGTGAAGTTCTATTCAAATTACCTTATAGCAAGTGAACCCCATCAGGTCACTAGGTCTTAGGTCATAGGAACAGTAAAGAAAGTGGACATCATGGAAAATGCATTTTAGGTGCACAAAACAATGCTGGTGCAATACTGGTGCAAGGCCGGTAAGAATGAAGTCAGCAAGGAAACATCAACAAACAAACTATAAATAAAAAGCACTTTCAATGATTTAATGTGGGAGTAACTCAAATAATTAAATTAGATTTTAAATAAGTAAAATGTTGCCCTTGTTGGGTTATTTGTATGCTTTAGAAGTGTGCTATTGAAATACATGTGGAAATATGAGTGTTTCCTCTTCTTTTTAAAACAATTCAATTCAATATACTCAATAATAATAGTGTAGAACTGAAGTATGGATTAGTGTCAAAAGAAAGAGTCTTTAATAAGTACACATTTAATGATTAGTGCAGACAAAAGCCCTCTCCCATTCATATTCAGAGGCAGTTTCAGTCACTCAGACAGTTTCTGTCACTCAGCTTCAGAGGACAAGGCTGTTACTGAAGGGGGGAGTTACGACACAAACATACAACTACACCAACATCAGACCACTATGATGAGGCAGGGCAAACTGAAAAGCATTATTATTATAACTTTCATAAATTACACATGTATCAGCAGGCCCATCAGGCAAGAAGCCACAAATGGATCTCCCTCTACTGTAAATTAATAGGAAGAGGGTTCAGTTCTGAGACCTTAGAATAATGGGGCCCGGGAAAACAAACCCTTTAGTCCCCCTCTGTTGGCTCCCTTGTGTATCAATATTCATTAAGAGGGTTACTACATAAAAATATGTATATAATAATGTATTATATTGTGGAATATAATTGAAGAGATAATTAAGTCGCCACCGTGAAGCATTTTATTTTAACATTTTAAATAAATAAATTGCTAAGACTTTATAATAGCCTAAAAAAAAGCATGACCTAATTGAACCTGAATTATACTTAATAAACTACTACAAACTATTATACTAAACTATTTGTTCATTTTGTATTAAGTACTGTTCATACTTTACTGCATCTGATTAAGGTATAGTTACTGTAAAGTGCAACCAGTAGTGGATAAGAAGTTTAAAAAGAAGTAAAGAGAGTTTTTGTTATGAGGGTTGCTGGTACAGGCTTAGACTCTGTATATTCACACAAACGTAGTGTAATATAATAAGAGAATAGTATTTTCATTATGAGGATTGCTAGTGCGGGTCTGTACATTCACATGAAGTATAATCTAATAAGTAAATAATGTTTTTGTTATGAGGATTGCAAGTGCAGGTTTAGACTCTGTACATTCACACACATGTATAGTGCAGAGTCAGTGCAGCTGCTGTGTTGTGCTGGCTCATCCTGTCGGGCATCATTCATATTCCACATCCATCACTAGGGTGTGAAAATGGCAGCGTCCGAAATGCCAGCCTCTGCAAACATGCTTGTACAGCAGTAACCTTGTGTGAGAGGCAATAGGAAAGACAAGACAAAGAAAGAAGAAGAGAGATCCCTAGATAATGCCCCTGACATAAAGCATGTACTCCAACTCTGATGGAAAATTACAAGAGACAGTAGGTTTAGACCCCTGGATGGGAATAACCTGAAATGGTAAATCCAGTTTTGATGCTTTTGTGTGGCCTATGTGCATATCAATACATATGTATGGCAATGGGATCTGTGGCTCTAGCAAAAGGTCATGGGGAAATTCCACTATCAAGACGAAATCTGAACTCACCACAAGCCATGGTTACCAAACTGATATAAAGTACATAATTATAGAGCTCAGTCATGGAGAAAAATGTGTAGCTCCTGACCTGACATTTGTACTTGACAAAATGTTAAGCATTCAGTAGATGCTGTGAGTGTTTTCAACTATACATTACCTGAGATGACCCAGTGTCTTCTTTACAGGCACATCAAATAACAACAACAGCTGCAATGAGTTAGACTGTGTTACAGTTGGAAGGCATTTCAGCTTTTATCAAAAAGGAATCATTTCTCCAACTTGAAAGATTTTTTACAAATTAAGTCATTTCATTTTACCAGTCAGATGATGTGTCACTTTAGGGCAGTTTCTCACAAAACTTAAATTTAAACTGAGGCATTATAGGATATAACCTTGAGAGTACTTTCACACGTACTGTTCTGTATATTAACATTTTCAATTTTCCTTTAGACACCTTTTGGAAAGCAATAATGTTTATAGAGCCTGGAGCACCTATCTAGCATTGGTACCAGTTTTCACAGTCAATAAAACAAAGACAATCCATATTTGTAAAAACATAAAACATGAAAATGCAATACCACTTTCAACCAGCAAGCTACTGGGAAACATATTTTTGAAACGGCAACAATAGCAGTACAGTGAGTTTAGGAGCTATGGCTTTGAAATGAAGTAAAATGTGGAGTTAATTCAACCACATCTTCCAGCTAGAGTTTTTTCCATGCTCATCCAGGGTGAGTATTGTCAATATTTAATCACAGCGTATATTTAATGGCTGCCTTAACATACATATTGGGATTTCCTTTGACATTTGAGTGCAAAGGAAGAAAAAATGTGTGACTGTCGACCTAAATTATGCATTCCCATATAACAAGGCCAGGGAGGAGTGTACTGTAGATTTTCACACTCTTAATTCATAATTTAAAATATAATAAATGGTCTCCTCTGTGTGCTCAAAAACTAAAATTTCAGGACAAAATTAAATCAACCGTGACTCTCCAATCTTATGTGAATGCCTATGAGAAAATGTTCCCTACCATTTATTTCACAATCTTGCTCAAATATATACATGCATTTTAATCATTCATAAATCTTTTTTCATTGCACATGTCTTCACTACTAGTTGTTTTTCATACTTTACACCTTGTTAAACATTTGGTTGGTTGAATATTTTACATTGCAGTGCACTTTTACAGTGGGAAACAGGGGTATTCTGTGGTACAATGTGCAGATCTGCTTTACTTCCTTTAGTGTGTTCTCCTTTGATTTCTTCTCCCAGTGTTGCTTGTTGTGACATGGGCCATTACAGTGCCATTTATCGGACTGCCATAAGTGGTGACAAGGAGATCAATCTGCTCTAATGAAGGCAGGGAGGAGCCCAGATCAAGAGATTTGGGTGAAAATGAGGAAATGAGCTAAGAGGGGGCTGGGCATCAGACTGAGGCAGGGTAATGTTGGCACCACAAACACTTGACTGTAAAATGGGAATAATTTTGATTCCATTTTGATTTTTTCAGATTGCTTTGTTTTTCTCATTGTAAATTTGACCTATGAGTCAAGCTAAATATTTACTGGCAACATTTTTATTTTATTCTTTTAAGAAAATGAGGGAAATGTTATGTGAAATACACAGATTAAAGTTTCTATATTAAGTTAACAGCTACCTTTTAGCTTTTGTTCAGTAGAGATTGGAAATTCCAGGGCTGAAATGATCCAAATTATTCTAGTGAAGGTGTATGGAGTTTAAAAACAAAATGGAGCACTTCTCGCATTACCACATGTCATCACAAGGTGGAACAGAGCTACAGGATCTGTGTGTTAAACATGTGAATGAAACAAAATACAACTCACACCCAACAGGTATGTTTTAGACGAGGAATTAACATTTTAACATAGATCAGAAAATAGCACAATATGGGCCCATTAACTTGAAGTACCTCCAACAGGTGCAGGTCGGTCACTACAGATGGAAAATTACAAAAGGCTGTAGGTTTAGAGTCATGAATGGTGGTTCCTGAAATGGTAGTTCCAGTATTGATGCCTTTGTGTGGTCTATGTGCATATATATACATATGTATGAGAACGGGATCTGAGACTGTCGCAAG